AAAAAAAAAAAAAAAAAAAAAAAAAAAAAAAAAAAAAAAAAAAAAAAAAAAAAAAAAAAAAAAAAAAAGCTAATAACTAAAAAAACACGTGAGCCCAGATCGTAGGAGCAAATGCATAGTAAAGTCTGAGGAAAGTAGTGCCTGGACCAAGAAAGCTATGTTGGTAGTAATAAGAGATAAGAATGAATCTGTCATTGATTAAAGGATTTAAAAAAAAAAAAGAAAAAGTCTGGGCATGGTGGCTCACGGCTCTAATCTCAGCACTTTGGGAGGCTGAGCCACGAATATCACTTGAGGTCAGGAGTTTGAGACCAGCCTAGTCAACATGGTGAAACCCCATCTCTATTAAAAATATGAAAATTAGCCTGGCATGGTGGCACACACCTGTAATTCTAGCAACTCAGGAGGTTGAGGCACAAGAATCACTTGAACCCAGGAGTCAGAGGTTACAGTGAATTGAGATTCTGCCTTTGCACTCCAGCCTGGTTACAGAGCAAGACTCCATTTCAAAATAAGACTCTTTTTGACAGAGCAAGACTCCGTTTCAAAATAAATATATAAATAGATAGATAAATTTAAAGAAAGAATGACTCTGAATATTGCTAAATTTCAGAGCAATTTTTGCTAACATAAGTTTGCTAAATTGAATTAAAATTGAAATGTGATTTAGCTCGGGTCTATACATGAAGCCATTGTGGTGAAAGCAGGGTTATTGCTCCCTCTTTTTTCCACCTGGGCTGCAGCCTGAAGAACAGAATATACAGGTCAGTCTTTGGTTTAAACAAAAATTGGTTGTTATTTTTTTTTTTTTTTCAGAGAAAGCTATTTTACTGAAAATGGAACAATCTCTGAGTGAATAACTAGATACAATTTGTTAATCATATATAGGCAGACAACCTATGTGCCCCCTGCTTAGAACGTTCTTGCCCATTTTTGCCTACTCAAAGTCCTACTATTCCTGTGGCCCTTTACTCCTCCAGAGAACGTCCAGAACTCTTCACCCTACAGTTGTCATTAATAACCCCCTTCCGTAATCTCTTGCCTTTGTACTTTAGCACTTATCACAGAATGCTCTGTGTTAGCTTTGCATCTCTTTTATCTCTAAATTGTAGCATCCCCAAAAGTTTAGTCTTTGCAATAATAGATGCCAAATAAATGTTAAGTGAGTTGAATTTGAAAGAGTAATGGAAATATATGTTTAATGAGAGAATACGTAAACAGAATTTGAGCTTTATTTTGACTTGGACATATTTCCAAATGTTAAAATTATGATAGTATACTAAAAGTAGTTTAAATATATAAAAGAACATTAAACATGTAAGCAGTAATTACAGTATGATAACTATTGCATCATATCCCTGTCTTAGAATATCTAGAAAAGGACCCACAGCCATAGCACTGTTTACCTGGTCACTGTTCAGTATCATGTTACAGTTTAACTGCCCTGATTGCTTCCTTGTATTCACAAGAGGCAAAGTTACAGTAACATCACTTTTCTGATGCTGGCTTGATAGTCTCCATACTTCTTATCTTTTAGTTGCACCACATTGTACCCATTCTATGCTATGTCACACAACTTACCCAGCTTAGCTGTCATTTAACAGACATAATGGTAACAACACAGGCACCCAGTAGTAACCAAAACTTGGCATCATACCTCATGAAGAATTTGCAATTGACTAGTGTGGCATGGCCCCCCAGTTGAAAACCATGGTCTTAAAATATTTTTCTGATCTAGATGCCTCATTTTGTAGCCTGAATCCAGTCATTTCTGTTATCCTAGAATTTGTTGTTCTGTGTCTCATTTTTCAAATTCTGTATTATCTTCATGGCTCTTACATTGTTTCCGTGTCCCATCATAGGCAGAATTTTACCTACATTCCCCAGCCTCTTGTAAAAGTTCCCCAGGCCTATTCCCAGCTGTAAATGAATCAATTTCAGTCATTCACTGTAATTATTAATAGAGATTCCTTTCACTCTAAAGATCCTGGTTTGGACAATTATATGTTCACCTAGCCACAGAACACATATAGAGATATTTCTTGTTGCTACCACAGCTATAGCCAAGCAAGTACCTGCATAGACTGGGGCGCTTTTTTTTAAAAAAAAATTGCCAGTGTTCTCCAATTTGCTTGGCCTATCATAATTTAAACAAATACTTTTCTAAGTATTGTAATTTGTACAAAATTGGCCGTCAGTTGGATAACCTGTTCAAGCTAATGTCTTGTCTGTTTCCAGGTTCCTCTCCTGGCTGAAATTTATGGTATAGAAGGAAACATTTTCAGGCTTAAAATTAATGAAGAGAGTCCCCTAAAACCCAGGTATGAAGTTCCTGACGTCCTCACAAGCAAGCCAAGCACTGTAAGGTAAGCCAAGGAGTGAGGTATCTTAAAGACACACCTGATACATTCTTTTTTCATATCTTGAGTAGTAAATTTTGTTATGTGCACCTCCTGTTTTGGCTGTTCAAAACTACAGTCATTTGCAAAGTTACAGGTTGGTGCAAAAGTAATTGTCGTTTTTGCTATTACTTTTAATGGGTTCAGTTATTTGGGGATCAATTTAGCCGTTTTCCTTATTATCCATTCTGTTTATTCCTCATCCACCATTTGATTTATCAGGACTTATTTAAAGGGGAGAAGCAGAACGTCGATCCCTGCTCTCCTTCTCACAAAGAAAGTGGTCTTATTAGCCAGACTATTGGAACAAGTAGAAGGAAAACTACTTGCTTTACTCACTCAGATTAGCAGCAGGTTTCCAGAGATCTAATATGCAAGCCAAACTCCCATGCTTACAGTAATTTACACAGTTAGACAGACTCACTTTTAATTAAAAGTGAGTCTCAGAAGTCTGACATGTAATTTTACTTAGAGTCAAGGTAAATTAATAATCAATGTCTAGGTGAAAAACAATCTTTGGGGACTAAAGCATTTTCAAGTACTTGCAAAACCTTCATCTGTTGTCATAACACTTACCAGTGATATTTGAACTCAGTTTTGCTGGTTGGTTTTCATTATGTTTTCGTATTATTTCACTAAAGGAATATAAGATTATACCAGATGCTTTAATTTTCACTGTATCATTACCACAGTTTTATGTACTTTATTTTTTCCATGAAAATCTTATAAAAGGTCAATAGATTATAAGGAGAAATTAATTCAGTTATTATAGAATCATCAATAGTTTAAAATATATCTATTCACTGCACCACACTATATGCCAATGAATTAGTAAACATGATTTTTAAATTTAATTTTATTCTTTTAATAGAGACAAAGTATTGCTGTGTTGTCTAAGCTGGTTTCAAACTCCTGGCCTCAAATAATTCTCCCTCCTGTTCCTCCAAAAGTGTTGGGATTATAGGTATGAGCCACCATGCCTGCCCTAAATAAGAATTTAAAAGAGACTGTTTCTCAAGGCCTTTGTACTTTGGCAATTGAATCAATGCATACAAATAACCTCTTGGCCACAATATATTATTTTCTACTATCCTAAAGGATTTACTTTATTAGTACAGCCTTCACAATTTTTACACTGTGTTCATAGGTAAGTTAATCTGTAATTTTCTTTTTCCAGGCTGTCTTTGCCATGTTTTAGGGTCCAGGTGATAATTGACTTGGTATGGTTAATATGATATTCTACTTCTGTTCTGACTTCTTTCTAGAGGGCCTTTGGCTACTGTAGTAACTGGAAAGCTAAAAACTACATTTCTTCATTTCCCAGATTCCTTTGTAGCTACAGTTTCTGATGTAATTAGTTTCCACCAATCGGATGCACTTAAAAAAACTTTGATTTCAGCACTGAGTTCCACATTTTGCATATATGGATTTGGCACCTCTAGAGTGAGTATAAAGCCATTAGGTAGGGCCATGATTTATTCACCTCTGAATTATAGTTAAGGTGGCATGACCCTAGAGCCCAGCAGTTGTCATAGTGACTTCTGATAATCCAGCTTCCTGATTCTAGCTAAGATAGAAGGTCAATTGGCCATACAGTTATACAGTATTGTACTAGGGGTCATTCCTGGACATGCAGCCTGAAACCTACTACCTCAACCCATCCTGTGAGGTTATAAGCAACAAATTATTCATATGAAGTCATTTATTTTCTGCTTAAAATAGCCAGAGTTGTTTTTGTTTTCTACAATTGAGCCTTGGTCAATATAGTAGTTGGTATTAGAAATGAGTATAAGCAACAGCCCCTCAAGGATGGGAATATGAGATTGGCTGGCTGACCTAGTTGGATTTGGAGGCAGTGAGGATGTATTTACTAATAGAGGATGGGATACTATTGTTACAGGCTGAATTGTGTCCCCTCAAAATTCAGGTGTGGAGCTCTAACCTCTGGTACCTCAGAATGTGACTGTATTTTGAGATAGGGCCTTTAAAACAGTAAATAAGTTAAAATGGGGTCATTGGGGTAGGCTATAATCCATTATACCTGGTGCCCTTGTAAGAAGACGAGATTAGGACACAGACACAGGCACAGAGGGAAAACCATGTGAAGACACAGTGAGAAGGCAGCTATCTGCAAGCTCAGGAAATAGGTCTCACAAGAAACCCAACTTTCTGACACCTTGATCTAGGACTTCTAGCCTCCAGAATTATGAGAAAATAAATTTCTGTTGTTCAAGCTACCCAGTTCGTGATATTTTCTTATGGCAGCCCTGCCAAACTAATACAACTAATAATAGACTACAAAATTCTGTGGCAATGCTACTTAAATGACTACTGGTGGACAACTAAAATAAAGTGGCCCATTGAAAGCCAGCGAAGAGGTAGGGCCACACTTCTTTATTATTATCATGCAGAATTCAGAGCTCTGAGGTGGTTTGGCTGCTTCAACTTCACTGAAGAGTTTAAATAAAGAAAACAATGGCCTCAGGGTTTTAGATTCTTAGCTCAAGGTATTGTCAGAAGATTGATAGTTTTCTGTGACAATCCTAAAAGTCCTCCTATCTCCTATAGCTGCAGTTACATGTAACTGAAAATCAGATGCAGAGTTTGATATTGCAGGTCACTGATTCAGGCCATAATTTGAATTCACAGCCTCATCAGGTCTGTGATTTTCAGGCATTAACTGGGAAAACATAGGACTTCTTAAAATTGAACAGTAGACTGATTGCAGTGGCTCACACCTGTAATTCCAGTACTTTAGGAGGCCCAGGCAGGAGGATTGCTTGAAGTCAAGGGATATAGACCAGAATGGACAACAAAGTGAGACTTTGTCTCTACAAGAATTAAAAAAATTAATTGGGTATGGTAGCACACACCTGTAGTCTTAGCTACTCAGGAGGCTGACGTGGAAGGATCGCTTCAGCCCAATAGTTCAAGGCTGCAGTGGACTAGTCACACCACTGTACTCCAGCCTGGGTGACAGAGCAATACCCTGTCTCTAACAAAATTAACAATTTTTTAAAAATTGAATAACAACATTTGGGAAGAGTTGGATAATTCTAAATAGTCAAACCTCAGAACTCTACTGGCCCTGCCATTTCAGCAGAAGTAACTCCTCCTATAAGGGCAGGTGAAAGTTGATCCTGCCTTGCTTGGATACCCTGTATTGACCTCACCTAAAATATACAGGCACGGGGATTCCAATGCTCCTTGTGCCCAACCCCTACCATCCTTCACTGCCTCCAAACCCATCATCAGAGTCAGATCCCAACATGCCCAGAGAGCCAATTACTGTCAAACCCAGGAGGAGAAGGCTTGCATGCCTGAAGAACTGTAAGACTATATAATGGCAAAAAACTGGGAAATATGCATGGAAATGGTTTCTGAGGAATTCCTAGACCAGAAAGAGGGGACTTAATTCTGGATCAGGTTAAATTTATTGACACAGGTACATGTACCAGAGAATGTAGATTTGATATGCTAGCTTGGGCAGCTGAGAATGGCTCTAATTGATGGCTTAGTTGTTTAATTATACTCTGAACTCAGCTATGGATTGTGCTGAACGAAGCTGAGATACCAGGAATTCCTTGGCACAGTATAGAGGAAATGATCTATAGACTTAGAAAGAAATGTTGAAGTGGATTCATCTCATGCAACCAGCTCATCTAGGCCCTCTGGATTCTGTTCCCCACGAGAATCCAGAACATACCCCCTTCACTGAGAAACTGATGAGAGAGCACTTGGAAAGCATTGTAGTGAACATCTTCCTCTTATGGGCTGGAGATAATGGTGGAAAATGATGCCATTAAAATGGTCTCCCTGATTTCAGTGGAGATGATGAGACTCGAGGTAGCAGGGGCAGAGTAGAAACATTTAGTTGACAGAGACAGGGTGAACATAATTCCATTATATGTGGTAGGCCCCGTGTAGTACTCAAATGGTTTAATGCTTGGGGCAGTAAGCAATTTATGGTGGGGTGCAGTAGACTGAAATATATGGACTGAAGTCCTGCTTAATGGAGTAATCAAAAGAACTCTGTCTAGGTTCAATGAAGAATGAGAGACACCCTCTCAACCATCTCCAGAGTTAGTATCTTGCTTGAAGAGGAGGCCTGCAATCCATGGAGAAGGACTGAAAAGACATAATAAGAACATAAACTGACTCGTTTTACCTTCCTTAAAGAGTCCTGGGAACACTTACTAGGGACACTGTGCTCTGGAGAAAGGGAAATATCTAGCTTTGAGGGGATTTTAAGTACTGTGTCTGAGCTTACATAATTCTTGTAGATCTAAAACATCCTAACAGTGTATCTGGGTGAGAAACGGGGAATAAATCAGTTAATTTGACCTGGTTCCATCTCACTGTGGACTCAATCTGTGTTATCGCCTCAGTTTCTGAGTATGTGGTTGGAATGAGAAAGAAAAACAATGTTTATTTCACGCACCACATCTTGAAAGTTACTAGACTTTCCCGACCAGGTGATGACGATGTTGATAGCTAACATTATTGAGTGTTTTTTTAAAATGTGTCTGGCACTGTGTCAAGAGCTTTACCCACGTGGATCTCATTTAATTCTCTCCAAAAACTTTGTTGTTGCTTTTGTTATTTTCACTTTACAGATAAGGAAACCAAGACCTAGAAAGATTGGATAACTGTGTTATACTAAGTTATGAAGTATATGGTAGAGTTATTCTCAATTTAAGCTCTTTGACACCAAAGCCAATGCTCTCATTTACATTTCTTTATTGCCTTATATATGGCTATGTTACATGAATATTGATTTACTAATTAATTATTTGAAAGTACAAATCGCACAGGGTCATGTAAACATGTAGCAGCTTATTTTTCTCTTCCTGCTTTGTTTTCTAGACTGATTCCATGCTCAGGGGACACAGGCAGTCTGATACTGGCAGATGAAAAAGGAGACCTCAGGTGTCATATCACAGCAAACCCATTCAAGGTAGACTTGGTGTCTGAAGAAGAGGTTGTGATGAGCATAAATTCCCTGGGCCAATTATACTTTGAACATCTACAGATTCTTCACAAACAAAGGTATTTTTATACATTACTTGACACATAAAGACCTTAAGATAACCTGATTATGAATATGTTGCCTATATAGATAACATATCACCATAGAAAATTGGTTTGCCTTATTTGCTCTAGTATTGTTCTGAGAAATTTTATCTTTTCACCTGGGAAGGTGAGAGTACAGGCTTTATGACAATAATAAATCCCAAACTTTTGTAATGTTACACTCTTAACATGTCCTGTGTGTGCCTGGTGGTGTTCTCTACCCTGTATACCCTTCCATTAAAGCACTCTGTTGACCCAACAAATGTTAATGTGAACTAGCATACCTTCATAATTTCACTTCACTGCCTTATAATAACACAAATTACCCTAGACTTGAATACTTGTCCAGGAATTTTCTGGGACCATCTGCTTGATCAAAGCCGTTTGTGTGGGCTGCTCACATGAATTAGGAAGTGTTGGTAAGGAGGAGATTCTTTTCCATTCTTACCAATACTGTTTTAAATAAATCTTTTAGTCTATAGTTCTTTCTATTTTTATCACAATAATGAACATATTATATATGATCTGCAGAAATCATTCAACTTTCATTATTTAAACATAGTTTTTTTCTGGGTTTCAACTCATTTTCTTTTAAAATTTTGATATTAAAAATATCTCATTTGCTCATCTTAAAACTAATACTTGTTCATCATAGGCAAATTAGAAAACATTGAAAAGAAGAATATTTAAACTCCCTATAATCTCTCCACCTACTGTGTTAGTGCCTTATCAATATTAAGTACTTGTTTAACTGAAAAATACTGATAATAGCATAACAAATATCTGTGTACTCACTCCCCATGTTCTTTATATTTAAAACCTTTTTTCTAGCCAATCACAGTGGCTCACTCCTGTAATCATAACACTTTGGGAGGTTGAAGTGGGCAAATCAATTGAACCCTGGAATTTGAGGCCAGCCTGGGCAACATGGTGAAACCCTGTCTCTACAAAAAAATTAGCCAAGTATAATGGCATTTGCCTATGGTCCCAGCTACTTGGGAGGCTGAGGTGGGAGGATCACTTGAGCCCAGGAGGTCAAAACTGCAGTGAGCTGTGATCATGCCTCTGTACTCCAGCCTGAGCAACAGAGCAAGATTCTGTCTCAAAACAAACACCACCCTCCCAAAAAAAGCACGTTTATTCTTTTGTAAACCCTCATTATTTTGTTTTCTTTTAAAGGTTGTTTTCTTTCCTAAGTTGACTTTTTTATTATGTAGAAGAGGCATATGGTACAAAGGAGTATATGTTAATTTACATTTCTGTATAGTAAAGAGTTTCCTTTACCCTTTGTCCTCTAGCTGCTCACTTCCCATCCTTGAAAGTACTCTGTTCCAGCTGGGTGCTGTGGCTCGTGCCTGTAATCCCAGCACTTTGGGAGGCCAAGGCGGGTGGATCACCTGAGGTCAGGAGCTCAAGACCAGCCTGGCCAACATGCTGAAACCCTGTCTCTACCAAAAATACAAAAATTAGCCAGGTATAGTGGCGCATGCCTGTAGTCCCAGTTACTCGAGAGTCTGCGACAGGAGAATCACTTGAAGCCAGGAGGCGGTTGCAGTGAGCTGAGATCATGCCACTGCACTCTAGCCTGGGCAAGACTTGTCTAAAAAAAAAAAGATAATGTGTTTCCAGTTTTTTGAGTATCCTTTCAGAAACAATTTATGTATGTACATTTTATATATATTCTTTGACTTTTCCTTTCCTGACACAATGGCACCACCTTTACACATTATTTTACACCTTGCTTTCTTTCTCTTAACAATGTGACAATTCTTAATTTCTTTAAAGCAGCTACATAATTTTTGTTAAATGGCTGTCCCATGATTCACTGAGTAAGTTCTCTATTGAGGGATTTAAAGTTGTTTCTAATATTTTTACAACTAATTAATTAGTTTACTAATAAACTTGAATATGTGTCATTGTGCATATATACAGGTATATTCATAATATAGAGTCATAAAAGTATAGTTGTTGATCAGATGGTTTGTGCATTTGTAGTTTTGATAGGTATTGCCAAATTGCCTTTCATAGAGGTTATACTGCTTTATATTTCCATTATTTACTTTTATATTTATAATTATATTTGTGTTAGGAAAATTAGATGATCTAACTGGAAAAATTTTTATGTTAGATTCTAACCTCGCAACATTAACAAAAATAAATTGCAGATGAATAAAAATTAAACATAACAAGACATAAAAATAGAGGAAAGTATAGAATAGTATTTTTGTAATTGTGGTAGTGTGACATAAACAAGAGCATAAGGAAAAGATTGATAGATTTGGTTACTTACACCTTTTAAGCTTTGATTCTACTCAGAAAGCAACAAAAGAAAAAAATAAGCTTTAATATAGACACACACACATACACACACATACCCTGAACAAAATTAAAATCCAGGACTTCCAGTTTCCCATCTGGCATGTAAGGAGCTTAGAAGTCACTACTCCATCCTAACAATGACTATAATCCCAGGACTTTGGGAGACCAAGGCAGGTCGATCATCTGAGGTCGAGAGTTTGAGACCAGCCTGTCCAACATGGTGAAACCGCGTCTCTACTAAAAATATAAAGATCTAGCTGGGCATGGTGGCATGCGCCTGTAGTTCCAGCTACTTGGGAGGCTGATGCAGGAGAATCGCTTGAACCCAGGATGCGGAGGTTGCAGTGAGACAAGATCGCGCCATTGCACTTCAGCCTGGGCAACAAGAGTGAAACTCCATCTCAAAAAAAAAAAAAAAAAAGGATTGTTATGTCTGCTTGAAGTATTGATTCCTGTATCATTTTGTAATATCCCTCTTTATCCCCCCAAATTTTCCTTGCTCTGAAATCTGTTCTGTCTGAAATTGATATAGTTATTCCCATTTTCTTTTGATTGGTGTTAGCATAGTATAACTTACCTTCAGAGGTAACCAGTTTAGTAAATTTTGTGTTAATCGCTTCCTTGGGTTTTGGGGTTTGTTTTGTTTTAAGACAGAGTTTCGCTCTTGTTGCCCCGGCTGAAGTGTAGTGGTGCAATCTCAGGTTACTGCAACCTCTGCCTCCCATGTTCCAGCAATTCTCCTGCCTCAGCCTCCCAAGTAACTGGGATTATGGGCGCCCGCCACCACATCCGGCTAATTTTTGTCTTTTTAATAGAGACAGGGTTTCACCATGTTGACCAGGCTGGTCTCGAACTCCTCGTCTCAGGTGATCCACTTGCATCAGCCTCCCAAAGTGCTGGGATTACAGGTGTGAGCCCCCGCACCTGGCCTTCTTGGGGTTTTTAATAGCATTCCCACATATTATCAATTCCCAAACAACATATTATTTGGATTTGTCTTTTCTAAAACAACTTTTATGTAATAAAAGTATACTGTATACATTCTTTTGTAATGTATTTTTCACTCAATGTTTTTTCTTTTTCCTTTTTTTTTGGAGAGACAGGATCTCACTGTGTTGCCCATTAAATGTATAAAAGTTAGCCTACATCATTCATGATCATAGAAATACAAATTGAATTACATTTATTTTTTCTACAATTTTAGATTTGCAAAGACTGAAAGATTGATAAGGTCCCGCATTGCTAAGAATGTGGGGAAATGAGCACGCAAATACAACTGTGGGTGGAAGAATAAATTGTCACAATTATTCCAAAAGACTGTACATTATGGTGCTGTGTTCCAGGAGTGAGGAGAGTCACACCAAGTGAGAGGAGCTATGTTCTATTTTGCTTATGGTTTTGTTGAAATATTACAACCGTGTATAACCTTCATAATAAAAAATGGTAAAAGTATTTTTAACAGGGTTAACAAGAAAATTCAAACACTTCTACATTTTTAAAGAAATCAAGCTATTAGATTAATGTTCATCATTACTGTGCAATTTTATAAACTCATTTTTAAATATTTTTTTATTTTTTAAAAATGAGATCTCTCCACGTTACCCAGGCTGTCATTGAACTCCTGGGCTCAAGTGACCCTCTAGTCTCAGCTTCCCAAGTAGCTGGGATTGCAGGCGGGCACTACTGTGCCCGGCTTCATTTTTATTTTTATAATTATGTTATATTTAATATGTTAAAGGATACAATTTATGGGGTCCCAGAAGTTGGAAATGAAAATCTTTATCATTGAACAAAATTTTTCAATCTTGCCATTGAGTGAAACAAATTTATTTATGTTAAAACAGAACTGCTAAAGAAAACGAGGAGGAGGCATCTGTGGACACCTCTCAGGTAATCTAGATTGATCCATTTGTTGTTATCTTTTTCATCATCATCATAATGATGGGGTATATACGGAATTCTCTTTCTTCCTTCTACAGAAGGGTGCTTGTTAAATGATCTACTGCATATAAATAGGACCACCCATTTCTTTGGCTCACCTTGTAATCTCATTGATTCATTCATTCATTTCTTCATTCATTCATTCATAAAAACAAATGCTTCCTGAGCACCTGCTTTTTTCCAGGCACAATTGCTAGGCAAGGAGAATCAGCCTTGAATAAAATAAATCCCAAACATGTTCTCATAGAAATTAGAATCTATTGGCAAAGATAGACATTGAATAAGTAATTAGAAGCATGAGGATTGTTACAAAATGGTGCTATAGAAGAATACAAGAGACCTGGCCAAAATGAGGGTCAGGAAAGACGTTTTGAGGGAAATAATGTTAAAGCTGAAACTGATATAATAGTATACATGAGTCAAAACGTTGGGAAAGAACGTTCCAGGTAAAGGAAACTGCATATTCCGAGATCTGGAGGTAGGACAGAGCACATTTGAAGAAATGGAATATGTATGCAATATATATTTATTTTAGCTAGAAGAAGGAAAGCAAAGGGGAGGATGGTATGTAATGAGGCTAGAGAGATAGGCAGGGCAGTTCTGTGGAGAGATTTGTAATAATTCTTTTATCCAACAATTATTTGTTAGGTACCTCCTATATCCCAGTCATTATTCATGGAATTGGTGAGACATCATTGAAAAATCTTAAGTCCCCCATTTATCATGGAGCTTACTTTCTTCCAAGCCATGTTAACCTTTCTAAGTTTGTCCTAAGAGCAAAGGAAAACTTTGGAAAGATTTTAAGTAGCAAAGATACATGTTCTTATTTCTATTTTTAAAAGATTATTTTGTTGAATTGTGAAGAATGGACACTACAGAAATCATCTCTCTCTTCATCCACAGTCACATGTATCTTCAAAATAGCACTTTTCACAATATTGATTCTTCCTATCCATGAGGATGGAATGTTTTTCTATTTGTGTCCTGTCTTATTTCCTTGAGCAGTGGTTTGTAGTTCTCCTTGAAGAGGTCCTTCACATCTCTTGTTAGGTGTATTCCTAGGTATTTTATCCGTTTGTAGCAAATTCATGATTTGACTCTCTATTATGGATGTAAAGGAATGCTTGTGATTTTTGCACATTGATTTTGTATCCTGAGACTTTGCTGATATTGCTTATCAGTTTAAGGATTTCCTAGGCTGAGATGATGGGGTTTTCTAAATATAGAAAACAGAGACAATTTGACTTCCTGCAAATTGTTATCTGCAAACAGAGACAATTTGACTTCCTCTCTTCCTATTTGAGTATGCTTTATGTCTTCCTCTTGCCTGATTGCCCTGACCAGAACTTCCAATACTATGTTGAGTAGCACTGGTGAGAAAGGGCATCCTTGTCTTGTAACAGTTTTCAAAGGGAATGTTTCCATCTTTTGCCCATTCAGTATGATACTGACTGTGGGTCTGTCATAAGTAGCTCTTATTATTTTGAGATATGTTCTATCAATATGTTGTTTATTGAGAGTTTTTAACATGAAGGGATGTAGAATTTTATCAGAGGCCTTTTCTGCATCTATTGAGATAATCATGTGGTTTTTGTCTTTGGTTCTGTTTATGTGACAGATTACGTTTATTGATTTGCATATGTTGAACCAGCCTTGCCCCAAGGATGAATCTGACTTGATCATGGTAGATAAATTTTTTGATGTGCTGCTGGATTCACTTTGCCAGTATTTTATTGAGGATTTTTGTATTGATGTTTATCCGGGATACTGGCTAGAAGTTTTCTTACTGCCCAAAATAATTTAGAGATTTAATGCTATTCCCATTAAACTACCATTGACATTCTTCACTGAATTAGAAAAAACTACTTTAAATTTCATATGGAATTAAAGAAGACCTCGTATAGCTAAGACAGTCCTAAACAAAAAGAACAAATCTGGAGGCATCATACTTCCTGACTTTATACTACAAGGCTACATTAACCAAAACAGCATAGTACTGGTACCAAAACAGACATATAGACCAGTAGAACAAAGCAGAGACCTCAGAAATAACACCACATACCTACAACCATCTGGTCTTCAAGAAAGCTGACAAAAACAAGCAATGGGGAAAGGATTCCCTGTTTAATAAATGGTGTTGGGATAACTGGCTACCCATATGCAGAAAACTGAAACTGGACCCCTTCCTTACACCTTATACAAAAATTAACTCAAGATGAATTAAAGGCTTAAACGTAAGATCTAAAACCATAAAAACCCTAGAAGAAAACCTAGGCAATACCATTTAGGACATAGGCATGGACAAAGAGTTCATGACTAAAACACCAAAAGTAATGGCAGCAAAAGCCAAAATTGACAGATGGGATCTAACTAAATTAAAGAGCTTCTGCACAGCAAAAGAAGCTATTGATTTCAAAATATTGGCCAAGATGGCCAAATAGAAACAGCTCCAGAGCACAGTTCCCAGCAAAAGCAACGCAGAAGGAGAGTGATCACCACATTTCCAACCGAGGTACCGGGTGCATCTCAGTGGCACTGGTTGGACAGTCAGTGTATCCCAAGGAGGGTGAGCCAAGGCAGGGTGGGGCAGTGCCTTACCCAGGAAGTGCAGCAGATCAGAGGACCCCCTCACCCCCACCGCTTACCCAACGGAGGCCATCGGGGGCTTTTCCAGCCACTCCAGCACTCCAGTTTAGATACTGCATTTCTCCCACAGTCTTTACAGCCCACAGACCAGGAGATTCCTGCCAGCCAACAAACACTGCGGGTTTCGAGCACAAAAACCCACACAAATCTGGGCAGCCGTTTTAACTGGTGCCTGCAACGCCTGCAAAGACAGAATTTCAAAGCTGAATTGATCAAGGAGAAGAAAGGATGTCAGAGATTGAAGACCAACTCAATGAAAGAAAACGAGAAGGTAAGATTAGAGGAAAAAGAGTAAAAAGAAATGAACAAAGCCTCTAAGAAATATGGGATTATGTGGAAAGACCTAATCTACTTTTGATCGGTGTGCCTGAATGTGACAGGGAGAATGAATCCAAGCTGGAAAATACTCTTAAGGATATTATCCAGGAGAACTTCCCCAACCTAGCAAGGCAGTCTAACATTCAAATCCAGAAAATACAGAGAACACTACAAAGATACTCCTCAAGAAGAGCAACCCCAACATAATCTTCAGATTCGTAAGGGTTGAAATGAAGGAAAATATGCTAAGGGCAGCCAGAAAGAAAGGTCAGGTTACTCACAAAGGGAAGGCCATAGGACTCACAGAGGATCTCTCTGCAGAAACCCTACAAGCCAGAACAGAGTGGGGGCCAATATTCAACATCCTTAAAGAAAAGAACTTTCAACCCAGAATTTCATATCCAGCCAAACTAAGCTTCATAAGTGAAGGAGAAATAAAATTCTTTACAGACAAGCAATTGCTGACAGATTTTATCACCACCAGGACTCCTGAAGGAGCACTAAACATGGAAAGGAACAACCAGTACCAGCCCCTGCAAAAACATTCCAAATGATAAAGACCATTGACACAATGAAGAAACTACGTCAACTAATGGGCAAAACAACCAGCTAGCATCAAAACACATAGCAATATTAACCTTAAATGTAAATGGGCTAAATGCCCCAATCAAAAGACACAGACTGGCAAATTGGATAAAAAGTCAAAACCCATCACTGTGCTGTATTCTGGAGACCCATCTCACGTGGAAAGACACATAGACTTAAAGGGATTGAGGAAGATTTACCAAGCAAATGGAGAGCAAAAAAAAGCAGGAGTTGCAATCCTAGTCTGTCATAAAACAGTTGTCAAACCAACAAAGATCAAAAGAGACAAAGAATGGCATTACATAATGGTAAAAGGATCAATGCAACAAGAAAAGCTAACTATCCTAAATATATATGCACCCAATACAGGAGCACTCAGATACATAAAGCAAGTTCTCAATGACCTCCAAAGAGACGTAGACCCCTGCACAATAATAGTGGGAGACTTTAACACTCCACTGTCAAGGTAAGATCAATGAGACAGAAAATTAACATGGATATCCAGGACTTGAACGTGGATCTGGACCAAGCAGACCTATAGACATCTACAGAACCATCCACCCCAAATCCACAGAATATACATTCTTCTCAGCAGCACATCACACTTACTCTAAAATTGACCACATAATTGGAAGTAAATAATTCCTCAGCAAAGGCAAAAGAACAGAGATCATAACAACCACTCTCTCAGACCACAGTGCAATCAAATTAGAGCTCAGGATTAAGAAAATCACTCAAAACTGGCCAGGCGCGGTGGCTCAAGCCTGTAATCCCAGCACTTTGGGAGGCCGAGGCGGGTGGATCACGAGGTCAAGAGATCGAGACCATTCTGGTCAACATGGTGAAACCCCGTCTCTACTAAAAATACAAAAAATTAGCTGGGCATGGTGGTGCGTGCCTGTAATCCCAGCTACTCAGGAGGCCGAGGCAGGAGAATTGCCTGAACCCAGGAGGCGGAGGTTGCGGTGAGCCGAGATAGCGCCATTGCACTCCAGCCTGGGTAACATGAGTGAAACTCCGTCTCAAAAAAAAAAAGAAAATCACTCAAAACTGCACAACTACACTGGAAACTGAACAAACTGCTCCTAAATGACTACTGGATAAATAATGAAATGAAGGCAGAAATAAAGATGTTCTTCGAAACCCATGAGAACGAAGTCACAACGTACCAGAATCTCTGGGACACATTTAAAGCAGTGCCTAGAGGGAAATTTATAGCACTCAATGCCTATATGAGAAGTGAGGAAAGAGCTAAAATTGACAACCTATTGTCAAAATTAAAAGAGCTAGAGGAGCAAGGTCGAACAAATTCAAAAGCTAGCAGAAGACAAGAAATAATTGAGATCAGAGCAGAACTGAAGGAGATAGAGACACAAAAAAGCCTTCAAAAAAATCGATAA